GTTAGAGAGTATGGTATCAAAGCCACGCCCTACAAGAGCAGAAACAAGTGATGTTGCAAATGCTGTTCTCGACGGAGCAGATTGTGTCATGCTGTCAGGAGAAACAGCTAAAGGTATGGGAAATCAGCAACACACACTTGATTATTATCATCGATAGCAATGATGATACTGTTTATTATAATTTATTATTAAGAATGAGCTAATATAGACAATGTGCATTGATAATCCAAAATGAAAAATAAATCTTATGCCCTTTGCTTATATTATGACAATATCAGATTATTTTTGTTTACTGCTGCGTGCACACTTGAGGAAATTGGTATAAATCAATATCTATTAGAAGATCAAACAATATTCTCTCTATTAAGTTTGGCATTGTTATTTTGTACTTGTATAGAGTTCCAGGGAATTTGTATTTGCCAGGAGTAGCAAGAGGATGAGGTTATTTTTTTGTATCATCAGGCCAGCAGCAGCTAACATAATCATGTCATTGTTTAAGCAAATTATTTACAAATTTTGTATTATTTGTTTTCATCCCATGCAGGTAAGTATCCGGTTGAAGCAGTTGACATAATGCACAGGATATGCTGCGAGGCCGAGTCTGCAATGTTCCATCGTGTGGTTTTTGATGAGTTACGTCTCTTGACTCCCAAACCGACCGAGACACTGACCACCACTGCTATTGCAGCAGTTGATGCTGCTTTCTTTCAGAATGCAGCAGCCATCATATGTCTAACTACTACAGGAAGGTAAGCATGTATTATTTTCATATTGTATTTCTTGATGACCTAATGCACTCACGGCCCATTTAGTTCTTGTGTTACTGTGTCAGTGTGCACTTCAGACTACACACATTTGATCACTTGATGATGTATAATTATTGTATCATTTATTGCTTATGTACATTTCCGTCTAAAAATCAGATTATAAAAAAAACATATAGATATCTCTCTGCCAGTAATGCTTAGTAAAAGAAAAATCACACTCCTCGCCTGCCAAATCTATTATGATGTCATTATATGTGTCTAGTATCTGTTATTATTATTGTTATTATTATTGTTGTTATTAATTGTGCATTCTTTTTTAAAGGACTGCCTTCAATTTGTCTCATTTCCGTCCTCATTGCCCCATCATTTCAGTCACTAGAGATAGAGAAGTCGCTCACATTGTAAGTGCCTACATGTACAGTACGATATCGTGTACATGTACTTGTATGGCCTCTGGCATGATTTGCAAGAATACAGTAACAGACGTAGGTACTTTTTTGTTGTAAGAGACGACGATAGCATGCAATAAATTGATTACAGATGTTTGATCTAGTTTCATAGTATAAACATATATTCTTGAGCCAATAGAGCCCTTACAGAAGCAAAGTAACTCGATCATTACATGATGTGTGACCATAGTGATCAAATAAACTAACATGTATCACACTCCCATGATTATCAGGATTTTTAATTGTAATTGAGTTTCAAAGTATTTTTAAGATGTGGTTTTCTCTATTGTGGTGGAGGACACCATGTCCTTATTATACTTCTCAGGATGTGTTTTATGAGAGTGTGTGCCAGTCTTTGGGCTTGAGAGCCCGTGGTTGTAGTGTGGGTAGCAACTGTATAAGTGCTTTATCTTGGTTTGATGATACATAGGGTAATTGAACCTCATAGTGACTCAATTCCTTTATTACATTTTTAACAATGTCTTAATGGCCAAGGCATGCTTAAACCTAATGAATATTTTAAAACATGCATGAATGTGATACCTTCATCTAATGTATACTATTAAAGTTTATTTATTCCTCATAGTGCCATCTCTATCGTGGCATACATCCACTGGTCTTCCCTCATCCAAAGGATAAATCAGACTGGGCAAACGATATGGAGAAGAGGTTCCTTTACGCCATTGAGTGGGGGAAAAAGAAAGGGTTCATACAGAAAGGCTCAACCATTATTGCTCTTAGTGGTTGGAAGCCTGGGCCAGCTAATACAAACACTATTAGGATCTTAATTGTGGAGTAACGGACTTAAGCCTTCTCCCATTGCTGACACTCATTATGTAGTTACACTATACATAGTCATAGCTAGCTT